AACACCAATGAATTTATCCAGTAATCGGTAAACATCAAAATCCTTATCAAATATAATTAGAATACCGTCCATGTATCTTCTATATAGAGTTGCCTTACTAATAAGCTCACTAGTCATATTTTTCACATATGACGTAAAAACGTCAGCTAAGAGAGGCTCGAAAGGGCTACCCATAGGTACACCTTAAATTATTAAATCAAATGACGTTTATGCCAGTAAGCTGTTATTATGAGTTGACTTCCAATTACATTTGCATTAGTAGACTAACTGATCGAACAAAAGTATTACCGTGGAGAAGAGTTCAGACTAGTGTTCCAAATAGTTTGATACGGTTTATTTAGTTACGGGGAGATTTTCTCGATCTCATTTTTATTTGACCGTGATAGAATTTAGTAATACAACTAATACATATCCATGGTTATCAAAAACAGTTTTTTATTACGTGAAAAGTGATTATTATGTGAATTTTGGACAGAAAGCTAGGAGGAATTTGTTAAACATGAGTGTAATCGTAAGAGACGTGCTTTAGACCCAATGTTCTGATCTGCCATAGACTATTATTTATATTCATACCTACTGGCTGATGGTACATACGAGTTAGTTGCAAGTATCAGTTTATTATAAGACGGAATACGATTTCATTGAGATGTAGTGACAATAAGCCTATGTGCCGCAATTATAGGTGATGTGGTGCTGTAAGATGTCTTCGGCTAGGTAAGTCTTTACAAGATGATTAACAATGGATGATGCTTATGTGATTACCAGGGAGAACATAAGTTTTAACCAACTCATGTTTATTATAATTGCTTGACCTTTAGTCAGTTTTGGGGTAAATCCGACAGTGTTTTCAGTTTGTAAGGGTTTTGATTGATATAGTTAAACGTCGAATCCTCTACTTCAAAACAATAAGCATTAATGGATGCATGTTAAGTTTACTTCAGCTTTTCGTTTTGTGATCTATCTTACCAGGTCACATAGGAAGGGCGAAGTCATGCCCATTATATTTTCATTACCTCGTGCCGTAATATAGACATTCGATTTACTATGTATCCAGTGTGTCATTTTAATTGGACGGATATTTAAACTCTAACCTGCATCTATTTTCTTACTGGTCGTAAACACAGACAGTCAATGACTACTCACTTATCGATTAAGACTCATAAAAGCGCATACATTCCCCATCATCACCTGTTTTCCAGTGTGCTTACTCATCATGTGCTTGTCTGGTTTGATCTTTGTGATAAACAGAGTGCCACGAGGCTCAATACCTGTTCCATTTGTATTCTTATCGTCTATTAATGATTTGCATGGTGACTTAGACTCCCAAACTGTTTTACACAAAGGATTTTAAGAGTTAGAGACAGATGCCAGATCCAGCTGATACTTTATCTCATGCACGAAAACTTGAATATGGTGTACGATTGTACTAATAAGAACTTCCTCCATTTCAGTACCAGCAAATAGAGGATCCCAATAGTGAACGGTAATGATACTCCATTAGCCTAGTACTTCCTGGGTTGTAAAGGCCGTACACTCTTCATCGCGAAAAAGGACCAGGGTATCAGCTTGTGTGATGCGATATCATTACTATCCTATAACCGATAAAGCACTGTTTTGAGGTCTCATTCCAGAATATTGAGTAGCCTGACATTGGGACTATTTCGAATGGTTTCAAGTGGTTATGGATGGAATAGAAGCTTTCACTAACCGAGCTTCTGTAACTTGTAGAGATGGATCACCGATGCCTCCAGGTAGGAACTTTAGTATATTTAACGATGAAAAAGAAAAAAAATGTTAGTGAATCATAACGGGATACTGTCCTTAGTTCCTGAGAGTGTGTCAAGTCTTCCTCATGAAAACACCCGGGAAGTCGTTTGGACTAGCTCAGCCTGAAGAAAATTACTGCACTTGACTACTCTTGAGGAGTGGGTGTGCCTACAGTTCGTGCTGCGATTCTTTGTCTTCAGTTTCTGGGTGTCACCCCTAAGGTTTGTGTTGAGACTAGGCTTAAGTAGGTATCTAAGTGGATGCCGAGAAGTTTTTAGGATGCCATATGTAATAAGGTCACCTCTAAGACGTCGATAGAACTGCTTTTTGTCCTTATCTAAATCCTTTTCTGGAAAGCATCCACTTTGTGCATCCTCACTCCAAGGAGGAAATAGTAACCCTAGAAGTAGTTCGACAGAAAAAAGACGGGAAGGTTCGTAGAGTAAACGTTTGACCCATAATCCTCTTCATCACGTATTAGATTCAGTACTACTACATATAAGAGAACATACATTTAGTATAGGAGATAAAAGAGCTCATAAAGCAATTCATATTGAGATTTAGATTTCATATTGGTGGAGTAAGGGCAGAAGACCTACGGCATTGGTTAGTTCTTTTCTAGTAACCTTATGTGAGTGCCTAGTCTTCTTTTGAATGAGTCAATTGAAGGTGCAGACACTGCTTCGAGTAACAGGTTCCAAGAATAGATGACTAAGTGTGAAAACCTGCATGCCGCGAGTATCTTGTTCATTCTCAACCTCTCTACTCGCCCGCTATGTATTCTGAGTTGTTCTAATCTTGTAGGAAGTAAAACAAAGTATATATCAAGTCCTAAATCATTTCTTAATGTTCTGTACATCAAAATCAGACCACCTCTTAATCTGCAATAGCACAGAGCAAAGAGATCTAGCTTCTCAAGCCGCTCTTTATATGGTAAACCCCGGAGTTCTGGAATTGCACGGGTAGCTGCCCTCTGTACTTTTTCCAAGTCAACTTTTTGAACAAGTGCTTGCAGCTTGAGTGCAGTTTTCAAGTTTTAATTTCGTACTATAGAGAACAGGGTAGTATTTAACGTGGTGAGTGTCTGTTCTAAGCCCTGTAGGGTTTTAAGCCACTTAGTTGCAACCTCACGGCAGTGGACTGTGATCTTTGGATCATGGATCACTGTCACCCTAAGATCCTTGTGGGGCCGAACTACGAGTACTGGCACTTTCCGTCTGATATACACATTTCCCTTTATATCCTCAAAGTGTGTGCAAATACGCTTAGCTGCGTTGATATACACCAGCTATTCTTCAGACCAGCTAATCAAAATATCTATGTCTGTTCAAAGTGCACATGCATCTGCGTCTCCCGTGATTTCTAGCCAGATTTTTAGATTACTCTTCCTAGTAATTTAACTAGGACAATAGAGAGGCCGGTACGTCTGTAGTTTGATGGGAGTTGTCATGATAATGTTTTATGTAATGCAGTGGCAACCGCATTCATCCAGTCTGTTAGTAACTCACCTTGGCCAGGCGACATATTGAATATCGTAGTCCGTGGAGCAAAGATATTTTGTGCAATTTGTCTAGAGATTTCAGGGTGTGATTCATTCGGTCCTGTTAACTTTTCCGTGTCTAAAGTGCTAAGAGCTTTATGTAGATCGTCTCAGTCGAAGTCTACAGTGAGCAGATGACTTCAAGATTGTGTATTTGAGTCTGGTTCCACGTCAGGAAGAGGCCTCTGAGTAAAAAAGGCCCCAAAATAGTTTACCGTAACCTCTGCTTCTTCGTGATTTTCCTCTGTCATTTCAGACACACTCCCTTCCTTATTAAGCTGAGAATCCAACGCCGCGTTCTTGTTCTCTAATTTGTGTACAAGAAGAGTCTCTTAGGCTGTTTCATTACAGATTTTGCCAACTGTTTTTCGTATTCCTGATGAGCATCTCAGATTGTAATTACCCATTTACTTTGCACCCACCTGCAGCGTTCCATCGTACTGGCTGTGCAAAGGCCGATGGCGGTGCTCCAACATTTCTTCTTTTGTCTTGATAAACGTCGAATCTCCCGGCCTATTTAGCGATGGCCGTGTTTCTTCTTCTTTAGGACTGTTCAGGGCACAAAATGTTAAGTTACCTGATTGTGCGACTGTCGGAAGTGAGATCATGTCTCTTCTACTGACGCTCCTGAGTCAATTTTCTGGTTTTCAGCCGAAGCTGCGAAGTTGATTGCCTTCATATCTGCCTTCCATATATTTGTATGGGCCGGCTCAACTGCTTGAAAGGCCATCTCGACCATGAACTTGTATAGGATGACCTCATGATCTCGTTTCCCTTAAGATGGGAGGAAAGTTGTTTGACTGATATCATCGCTGCGTGTTGCAGCGGTAAATAGATCCCCAAAATAAACAGCTCAGTAAGTCTTCGACATTGGATGTTGACCACATTAGTCTTAATGGACTCACCTAGCTGAAGGCGCCCGGTCACGCACCCGCACCAGATCACGAGTGGGAACGCCGTGCTCAACAAGCCCTGCAATCGCTAGCTAGATTAGATCAGACTATCCTCGATATATTGATAGTCTATCAAATATATCTTCGAACCTACTCGCTTTTGTCTTTTGATTTCACTTGGTGGGTACGATTCATACTAGATGTTACTAGTCAAAGAGTTTTCAAACCCCGAATACCTGTAGCATCTTCAGTGTAAAGATTGTTCAAGGGATAGGAGGAGTTTTGTAGGTTATATATGGTAGAATCCCCAGTGTGCCGGAATAAAGCTAGGAAAATTGTAGTGCATTTAAGTCACCTACTATAGGGATTTTACCCCTATCGTACCAGGATTTGAGTTTCCTTAGCGGAAAGCCACCCATTACACACTTCGGATTGTAATATGCTACAGCTAATTCAATATATTACAGTTAACACTTCGTTCTGCAGAGCACTAGTTCACATGTCTCAGAATCGTATGCTACTGTCTCGACAGCTTATATAGTTAGAGAACTTTTCGTGCACATGACAACCTCACCACCTCTACAGCTTATTCTGCAAGCCCTATAGGTAGGAAACCAAATAAATGAACTTCATTATCATATACTACTGACATTAACCATGTTTATGAGGTGGCAATATTGCGATGCTGATGTTCTATAGCATCATGGTTCTCTATGTGTTTCCTTTGCAGTCTTCTTTTTGGTTAAAATTAGTAAGTTATGGAGCCCTCTTCTATAAGAAATAGTGACGGGATATTCTGCTGAGTCTTTTAAAAGAAGGTTGGACTTTTACTTTAGTTACATTAATATTAAAGATTATTTCGGGTGTTATGTATACCAATAATCTTAAGTATTAATATGTAAGAATGCTTGTAACTACCCAAACACAAGTCCGAAAGGATACATAATTCGTTAATTGTACCAAGCAATGTTTGAAGTTTGAGTTTCGCTTTTGTGGTACTTTCAGTCGTGCGTTACGCTGATGGCCAAAAGCAATAATTCTGTTTTCGACCCATGGAATACTTTTTACGAAACCCCAGAAGAGCAAGCTGCCATAAAACAGAGAGCGAAAATGAGGGATGCAATGAAGGTTGAGTACAGGAAACGATATACAAATCCATTCAACCCCCCAATGGGTCATTTGGTAAACATTTTTGTATTATGATAATATTAAGCGTTACCTCCTCAGTTTTTGTAGTCTTCGAAGTTTTTTGTGTTTCTTTTTTACTGCTGAATATGAGTAGGTTATAAGCCTAGTGTTGAACGGATGGTGTATATTCATGTAGTCTTCAGTAATGAGGATTGTAGGTTGGTGAACCTATATTAATTCTAACAGTTTACCCACCAGTGAAAATCCAGTTTCTCCTTGAAAATGTTCACCAATGGGGCTGGTACCACTTGTTTGGGTAAGGCGTTCCAGTCATTAACCAATCGATGAGAACAACAGAACCCCACATTAAGTTTATTAGATCGCGGTTTGTGAACCTTCTTGTTATTACTTCGGAGATTATTGGTCTGGAGGGAGAAAAAAAGAGCAGATATATTAACACCCAAGTCGTAACTAAAGATACGAAATGCCAGTATAAGGTCACCTCGCGTCCTACGATACGACAAAGAGAAAAGGTTTAGACGTTTTAAGTGCTCATCGTAGGACCCTTCTCTAGTTTCATTCTCACACGCTGAATACGCTCAATTGAGTTAGTATCCTTAGTCAAACATGAGTCAGCTGCTTGGATACAGTACTCTAATTGTCGTCTTGTATAGGTGGGATACAAAATTTGAAACATTTCCATGTCAAAGCATTTGAATGCTCGGCGAAGTGACCATAATGCACGAAAACCTTTGACAGCAGCCGCGTTTCAATGCTTAATTGTTTGTAAGTGACTTACTATTGCTGCTAAGTCTTTATGTTCTTGAACGCATGGAAAAGATGTACCGTCGATAGTATAACGGTAATTATTACCGTGACCGATGTGCATGAGCACACTCTTCCTAGAATTAACTTCCAAGCCCCAAGCTCGAGCCCATCTAACTAATTCGTCTAGGTCAGCTTGGATATCAAAGTGATCAACCTTACTTCTTATTGTTCTCCAGATTTTGACATCATCCGCAAGCAATAGCGTCGACGACCTAAACAATCGCGGTAATTCATTAATGTAGAGAAGAAAAAGTAGTGAGGCCTAAGACGGTGCCCTTGGGGTACACCACTTTTGGCCGGTCTCTATTCAGATAGCGTTCCACCGACCCTCACTATCTGCCTGCGGTCACATAATAAGTTTCCTATACACTCCTGTACAGCACCTGTTATTCCCGAGCTCCAGAGCTTCTGCATGAGATCTAAGTGTGAAATCTTGTCAAACGCTTTGCTGAAGTCTATGAATATCACATCAACAGACAGACTATTGTCTAGCGTTGCTGTCTAATCCTCTCTCGCAATAAGTTAGTCAAGCATGAATGCTTTTTGTAAAACCCATGCTGCTCCAGAGTCAACAGATTGTGTGAATCTATGTGACTTAGTAACTTAACCCGAATTATCTTTTCAAGTAACTTAACGACTATGCCGGTTAGACTGACAGGCCTGTAAGATACGATCTGTCTCTGACTATCCTTAAATATAGGACTGACTATATCATCTTTCCAATTTCTAGGGAGTTAAGCGAGTGAAAGGGACATGTTGAAGAGCGTTTCGAGAGGTCTTGAAATAATGTCCGCAAAAGATGACAGCAGTCGTGGATGTAACCCATCAGGGTCCCATATCTTACATGGTTTGATGTTATTGATCAATAGAAAAACAGTTTTCTCAGTCACATGTACAGATCCTATGCCTGGTATCTCGGTGTGATTGGGACAAGTATTTGTAACAATACACGTAGAGTAGACTTTGCTAAAATATTTTGAAAAAGTCTCAGCTTTCGCCAGATCTGATTGAACTAGTAAATCTGGATTTTCGTGTAACAGTAACGGGGGAATACCGCTACGTTTTGTTCGCCGTTTAACGTGCGAAAACAATCGTTTCAGACAAGTAGGGCTATCATATGCCAACTGTCTTTAGTAAATAGTACGGCATCTGGCTATGATCTTTTTACATATATTCCGGATATTTTGGTGTTCACACTTAAATGATTTTTGTCCTGTTGACAAGAATAAGTCCCAGAAGTGTTTCCTAAGCTTCAACAGCTTTCATGTTTCCTTATTAATCGATGGAGGGCAATGTGATAGCTTACGTGTTGACCTTGGGATAAACGGTGATGTTACGGCCTCGAATGTAGCCTTAAACGTACTCCATTCGTATTCGATCGACTCATCCTCACCGATCGACCAGTCAGTCGAAATAGCACAGTCTATGATTGCCGGAATATTGGATCCCCAGATATTGGGATGGGGTGAAGCAGATACAAATTGTATACCATGTGTCCGAAACCTAAAGTACGACATGGTCACTATTTGCTAGCGGGGCAAGGTGCTGAATGTCGATGACACCCTCACAGTGGTGTGTGAGGACAAGGTTCAGCAATGACGTATCATGTTCCAAGTCAATGTGTCGGTTTCGCGATACATTGTGCAATTGCAAGTCGCTATCAAAACCCCTATCTGGAACTGTAAGTTCTAGGAAAATGTTTAACGACATTCAAAGTTAAACCCGTTCCTAGTTTAATTATTTGGGATCTAGAGGAGTCGGAAGACAATTACTCTGCTAAAAGACATACACACGATCTGGAGTTAGTGGAATATGTCATCGGAAATGTACTGCCTGAAGTGCTTTCAGGTGTACATATCACGAGAGTAATAAAACTCGGTAAATGGGTTGGAGGCGAGACCCAACCAAGAAGGATCTTGAAGTTGGTACTCGGGAATTTTGATGAAAGAGACAATATTGAATAATGTAAACATCAGATCACCAAATGTATGACATATGTGGGTTAAGAGCTGTAAGGATATACATAGTTCGTCTCTTATTCTTCATTGGATGTCCACGGTCTGCACTTAGGGGTCATTAGTTTCGATGGAATACTGGAGATTCATGCTACGTTTCTAACTCCAGTAGAGAATCAATTATCTTGAAGTTTAGTCATGTATTAAGACTTATGGCTTAAGGATTATTTTGAGTATCACTTAATGGTCATTTCTTATCGTTAAATGATATATAATTTGCAGTGTAGTGCAAAATCCTTTCGTTCCGCGCATAGGACTTAGTGCCTTCACTTCTTACCTGGTTAGTTCTGGGTTCCGTTTAAACCTTTCTCGTACTTATCTACTTGCGTTTGTTAACTTCTATGCTGAGTTCCTACTTAAACATACTTCAGACATCTCATCCTGTTTGAGAGGAGTTCACAAGGGGGCTAATGTGACTCGTTCAGCGCTTCATCACATGCATGCTTTCACGTATTTTGTTTAAAACATGCAAGGTTTTTACCTTTGGTCCTCCGTAATAAAGTTCGAATAAAAGTGGTCTATGTTAATGTTTAGTTTTTAGTGCTATAGAGATATATTCTCGACTTAAATCACCAACATATGGCTAAAGTAGCTGGTTTTGTAGAGAATTACAGCAGTTCATTACCCAGTGCAAAATAAACAAACTTCTATGCATAAACGATTTGTTACAGGCTTTTGAACTTCCTTAAGATTTCGTCTCTAATGAGAGACTGGTGCCGAAATATTCTTTCGTCCTACGATACTCTAGTATGATATTAGATCCTATAGTAAAATTGTAGGAAGAGATCAAAATATTTTGTGGTTGATTCAGGTTACAACACATTTATTTGTACCCTCTCCCAAGTGTAATTAATTGTCTAGCCAACTGGTGCGTTTGATCTGACTTGTAACAATATCTTATCGTCGTTGTTATGGTTTGCTAGTGGAAGTATTGGTATATGGACAACCTTAAGCCAGTTTCTGGCCAGTAAGGAAACTATTTATTTATAGGATTGTAAGGGCCTTCGTTACGAACTGTTATTAGCTATAGTGTAAGAATAGATTTTCATAAAGAAATATGATTGATCCATTCATTCACTGCTCCTGGTTTTTAATATGTGCAAACATTAATATGAATGGGTCTATGAACACCGGTAGGTCAAAAAAATAGGAGGGGATATGAAGTTCTCCCTTGGGGTACCTCATTCTTTACTGACTTCCATCAAGATAAATTGGTATTCGCTACCACTTCGGTGTGTATTTATAAAATGTTGTCCACTGACCTAATTTTACATTTAATTCCGAAAATTTCCAACTTGATTTGAAGCGTTATATGAGATTTATCAACAGCTAAATTAAGATTCATAGGTCCTATATTCCTAGCTGCAGCTCAATCTGTTGCAATAAAGTCTATGAAATAAGTAAATTAATGTTGCTTGGTTAAATCATCCTTACTTTTTACATGACGCTGAGTAGCAGCGCGAACTGTCTCCATACTTTGAGGACTATACTGATAAAATCAACTTCATTTTATTCATTTACTAAGTGCTTCTGTTTTACAGATAACCATATTTAAAATCGTTTGGTTGTGTTTATTAATGGAAAGAAAACAGTAAAATATGGACGTGTGGTTAGAAATGAGTCTATTACTACTTAGGATGCTGACTACATACTGAGCAAAAACTATTACAAAATAAAAACTTTGTAGATCGAGTAATTAAGTCTCCATAATTCGTCACGTGTTAGAACAAATATTTTTGTGTTTAGTATTGAGATCGCCTTTAATTTGTTTCATAGGACCAATGTTTGTAAATATGATGTGAGACACAGCGTTAATCTATGTTCGTTGTTTAGTGATGGGAGTATATGTAGTAAGTGCTATACTACATGCCTTCAGAACCCTAAACTTTTGACATATCACGTAGTATTATTGATTGAAATTACCACTCAAAGGTAGTTACATATTTTGGAATTTTAGTTTCAACCTGTTGTTATGGGTTTTTTTAACTCATATTTAAACTTTCAAGCTTTCTATTAAGAGTTGTGTTTTGCGGTGTTTGACACCATCAGTTTATAATTTATTTTTAACAAGATATTTATAGGTGTTCGAACTGAAAAAAATGGAAAAGTAGGGTTTCAGGTTTGGGTTGGCAACTTTTCTTATTCACTTTCAAGATATTTGAGATTTTTCACCGTAAGTACTTTTGTAGGAATGATATTCACTTAAGGCAGTTATCTTTAAGATATCATGTAGCATAACTTATTGTATGAAGTTTGTTAGGCTTTATTGTTTTTATTTTCTCCTACGTTTGTCATATTTTTCAGCACGATCCTGCATTGCAACACCATTTTTCAGCCCAGGTTACATATGCAGAATATTTACGTCCATCCCCCAAATTGGGACTAATCGCCCTTGGAGTTTTAGGCGTAGGGTGTCTAGCGATGGTAATAAAAGGAAGGCTTAAGGTATGGTGAACACCGGAATCAGTATTTTCGTATTTTTTATCGTCCTTCGTTTTTTCCTTCTAGTGCGTCTAAATTGTTCGAATGTTTTTTCACTTTAATCATTTTCCGGCGCAGTTATATCCCGATTGTAGCTGATACCTACATTGATGTAGTGTTCAGGCTTGCCTATCGCAATGGCTCAGTCGAGCTAGGTTGACCTGAAACGATTATTCCTGTGGGTCCTATCACGACAGAGAGTTCGGTCGGAGAACCGTAAGACTAAAAGCAGCGACTTGAGGTCGGATGGCGATTGCTTACTACTGACTGTACTGGGGTGTAGCGTTATCAGGTGTGGTGAAGATTTTCCGCCATCTCAAAATCATATGAGCGTAATCCGCTTCTCGTTGGTACTAAGGTGTTTCTCTCAAACCACTAATATTTAAGGCCATTTTATCTACTCAAAACGTAGGAAATGGGTTATAAAGGGTTGACTCTAAAACTGTTTCACGGATTCCCACCCCTGGCTGAAAGACCTTCAAAGTATGGGAGCCTACTTTTCACAGGCTAAACACCAAAAGTTTATTTGATCAGTCTGGTGCAGTTGCCCTTTAGGCTTAATCGTTTTGCTTTTAGCATGCTAAGATCACGACTAATTCAGTTTTCTTTTCAGACATGAAGAGCAACTATCGTTTTACAGTGCGAGAAACCGAGAAGTATCAATCGCCCTCATACCTCTAACAGAGCCCGTGACCATCTTGTTCACGACCAAATTCCGTCGACACTTCCTAATATTTCTCCTGTTCCCATGACCAACTCCTATACTATAACTGTCTATATCTCCTTACTTGCTTACTTACGCCTGTTACTCCCAATGGAGCATAGGCCGCTGACCAGCATTCTCCAACCCACTCTGTCCTGGGCCTTCTTTTCTAGTTCCATCCAATTCTTGTTCATTTTTCTCATGTCTATCTCCATTTCTCGGCGTAATGTGTTCTTTGGTCTTCCTCTTTTCCTTTCGCCTTGAGGATTCCATGTGAGGGCTTGTCTTGTGACGCAGTTGGGTGCTTTCCTCAATGTGTGTCCTATCTACTTCCAGCGCTTCTTCCTCCGCTGGGATCTGGTTTGTTCTCTCCCACAGTACGTTGTTGCTTATAATGTCCGGCCAATGGATCTGAAGTATTTTGCGTAGACAATTGTTAATAAACACTTGTATTTTCTGGATGATGACTTTCGTAGTTCTCCAGGTTTCTGCCCCATACAGTAGAACTGTGTTGACATTTGTATTGAAAATCCTGACCTTGGTGTTGGTTGACAGTTGCTTTGAGTTCCAGATGTTCCTCAGTTGTAAATATGCTGCTCTTGCTTTGCTGATCCGCGCCTTCACATCTGCATCAAATCCACCCTGTTCATCAATGATGCTGCCCAAATAAGTAAAGGCTTTTACATCTTCCAAATCTTCTCCGTCAATTGTGATCGGATTGGTGCACTCTGTGTTGTATCGGAGAATCCTGCTTTTCCCTTTGTATATATTGAGACCTATTGCTGCTGAGGCTGCTGCCACACTGTTCATCTTCTCCTGCATCTGTTGTTGCGTTTGGGATAGAAGGGCCAGATCGTCTGCGAAGTCTAGATCATCCAACTGCATCTTAGATGTCCATTGTATCCCGCGCTTTCCTTCAGACGTTGACGTCTTCATGATCCAGTCGATCACCAGGAGAAAGAGAAAGGGTGAGAGTAAGCAACCTTGCCTAACACCGGTCTTCTCTTCGAACGACTTTGTCAACTGTCCTTCATGCACAATTTTGCAGTGTAATCCATCACCTGAGTTCTGTATGATATTGACTATCTTTTGAGGCACGCCGTAGTGTCGAAGAAGTTTCCATAGTGTTGTTCTGTTCACGCTATCAAATGCCTTTTTGTAGTCAATGAAGTTGATGTAGAGTGATGAATTCCATTCAATTGATTGTTCCACAATGATCCGTAGAGTTGCGATTTGGTCTGTACACGATCTATCCTTACGGAATCCTGCCTGTTGGTCACGAAGTTGAGCGTCTACGCAGTCCTTCATCCTGTTTAACAATACCCTGTTGAAGACTTTTCCCGGTATTGAGAGAAGAGTGATGCCCCTGTAGTTATCACACTTGTCCGGTCCTGCTGCTTTGCCACTCTTGATTTGTCTGATGGCCATGCTGATTTCTTCAATTGTTGGTGGGCCAACATTGATTGGGAGGTCCGTGGGTGCTGCTTCGATGTTGGGTGGGTTCAGTGGAGCTGGTCGATTCAAGAGTTCTTTGAAGTGTTCTACCCACCTGTTTTGTTGCTCTTCAATGTTGGTGATTACCTTGCCTTCTTTGCTTTCCACTGGTCGTTCTGGTTTGCGGCGATTTCCAGAGAGTTTCTTTGTCGTGTCATACAATTGTCTCATGTTTCCTTCTCTTGCAGCCTATTCCGCCGTCGTTGCTAAATCTTCCACATATTTACGTTTGTCAGTTCTGATGCTCCTCTTCACTTGTTTGTTTACTTCTGTGTATTAAGCTTGTGCCTTGGCTTTTTCTGTTCTTGTTCGCCTGGTATTGATTGCTGCCTTCTTGTTCCTTCTTTCTTGAATCTTATCCAGTGTATCAACAGTGATTTATTCCTTGTGATGGTGCTTCTTGTGGCACAGAACCTCATGGCATGTTGAAGTGATTGCTTTTTTGACCCCCTTCCAGTTGCCCTCCATAGTAGTTCCTTCTCCGTTGAGTAGATCATGAAAGGCCTGGAACTTATTGCTGAGGACTATCTTGAATTCGTTGAGTTTGTCAGTATCCCGAAGTAAGGCCGTATTGAACTTTTGTGATATTGTCCGCCCCGTTGTCCAGTGCTTCTTGAGTTTCAATTTCATCTTGGCGACCAGCAAGTGATGATCTGATGCTATATCAGCTCCTCTCTTGGTTCTCACGTCCTCTATAGTCCTCCTGAACGTTTTGTTGATGCAAATATGGTCGATTTGGTTTTGTGTAGAGTGATCCGGTGAAGTCCATGTGGTTTTGTGTATGCGTTTATGTGGGAATATGGTGCCGCTTATGACCAGCTTATTGAAGGCACATAGATTTGCAAATCTCTCACCATTTTCGTTTCTTTCTTCCAGTCCGTGTTGTCCCATGATGTCTTCATATCCAGTGTTGTCCGTTCCAACCTTGGCATTGAAATCTTCCATCAGAATGGTCAGGTTCTTTGTTGGGCACTTCTTGACGATTGACTGCAGCCTATTGTAGAATTGATCTTTAGCGTCTTCATTGTAGTCGTTGGTAGGCGCATAGCATTGGATGATGTTCATTGAAATACCCTCTTTTTTGTTTTGAACGAGGCTTTGATGATCCTTGGTTCATGAGATTCCCATCCTATAAGCGCATTTTGCGCTTGTTTGGACAACATCAATGCAACTCCTTGTGTATGTGGTGCATTTTCTTCTTCATGGCCGGAGTATAACGGGAGCTCTCCTGTAGTTAGTCGTTGTTGTCCAACTTGTGTCCAATGTGTTTCACTGATCTCAAGTACCTCTAGGTTGTATCTTCTCATTTCTGCAGCAATTTGGAAGGCTCTCCCGGTGTCCCACATTGTACGAACATTCCATGTACCTAAATAAATGGTCGCTCTGGTTGTCAGAAGGGGCATCGGCCTCGAAACTTCGGAAGGAATTCGGCTTTCATCATGAGGCGTCATAATTCTTCTAAATGAAAACCTTCTGACTCCCAGGGCAGAGTTTAAAAGGTTTGAATAATTTTTTCTGGTTAGCGTTTTTTAGCGAGTTAGTTTTCTACGGGATGGGACGCTAACCCCATGTCCAACCCTCCTTATTTATCCGGGCTTGGGACCGGCAGTAGCCTCCGGAGGGACTCCAGGCGGAGTTGTCTATATATCCAGCGAAGTTTATTCCCTCTTTTTGATTGGGCTACGAGTTGGTTGCGTTAATTTATCTTTTTAAGGGTATAATCACTTATCTTAATAGATACATGCGTTTTTCCTAACAAGTAAATAGTCCATATTTAGCTATTTAAGTACTCGTCGTTCTACCGTTTGATTCTGAAATATTGGTAAAGAGTGCTGGCTGTGTTGTTTGAAAAGTACATTATTGATGTATCTTTCTATATTTCGTTTATTTTGTACTTGTATCCACTCAAACAGCATCACTGTTATACACGTATTATCGTGTTGTGACTTATTTAAAGAATCTAATTACACGGAACTACTGAAATTCCAAAACTTCTGCTATTCACTACTTCCACTGTTTAAATCTTATGTCAAATTGAACAACAGGCTTCCTTAACCAGGACTTTGGCATCTCTCACCATCCATATGCGTCGTGTCTCCCAAACATCCATGTAAGTTAGAAGTCCGGTTGTTCACTTGACCTCACCTAGTCAGTATAAAGGACCAACTCAGTTGGTCCTCTATGTACCTGGGAGCTCGACATCTACTTCTTGTGGTATAGCACTAAGTTCAAAAGCAAAATAGGTTCTCTTAAACAGTATTATGATAGACAATCACTTGTGTGCTGTCCGATTAAACGGGACAGTTACAAATCAGAAAGATAGGGACATATATCACCACTTTTTCGTCCAGCCCCCTCCATACGGTCCCACTCAATGCAGCTCAAATAAAGCGAAAGACAAATTTTATAGAAAACTTTCCACCTTCCAGTAGCTAAGTGCTTAGATGTAGTAACGACAGGGTGATTTTAATGTCCATTTAAGTGGTCTGAATCAGACTGAAAGGCATCTGTGCGGGTCTCACAGTATCGTAGCTCATCGATAGATAGTGGCGACCGACTACTGCAACTGTGCCCAGATAACCGTTTATTTCGAACAGGCATCAGCTTTAAGCACAAGGAAAGACATCGTCCAACATGGCGGCCCGCAAGATGGACAACTTATTAGATTTATAAGAAATCACGCTGTAACTACGAGCAGTGGTAGTAGCGAAAGCAAAAGAGATGGAAAAGACAGGGGGAATAGATAACTGTAGACAACTATTCAGACTCATTAAGGAAACAGGTGTTAAAAATCCAACTGTTAGGGGAACTATTTTATAAAACGATGTGACCACTATTCACTCTCGATCCGGGGGATTAGACTGATAGCTAAAAAATTTCAAGCAACAGTTCAGTTGAGCTCCAACTACACTCTGTTTGCCCAATATTTCCAAACAACCTAAATGGTAAGTTAACGCAAGCCTCTAACTCTTAGTGTGGCTGAAAAGACCATAGGCAACCCGGAGCAAGGTAGAGCTGCAAGTGCAGATGTAATTATGCTGGTGAGTTCTAAGGATGGGGTCCAGTTTAAGCAGTAAGACTGACAGAAATCCTAGAATTCGGGAACTGGACATGATTCCACTTGACTAGTCTGGATTGCTGGTCGTCTTAGTTTATTAGAAAGGACAAAATTCCTCTTGCGACAACCACAGAGGAATCGGCCTGATTAATATAGTGTCCAGAATAATAATCTCTGTAATAACTCAACTGTTAACTAAGGCCCGTGAAGAGAAAACTTGGGGAATAAAATCTGGTTTCAGACCTGGACGTGAGTATGTAGACCAGATCTTCACTCTTCCTCAAGTTTTAGAACCCAGATATGCTTTCCGACTCTCAACTATAATTGTATTCCTTGGTCTTAAAGTAGCGTTCGCCCCTGTTGATCATTAGTTTTTGTGGCAATGGTTGTTTTTAAAAGGTTTCCCGAGGAAGTACATCAATCTTACACAGGCTGTTTACCCGAACACTGCAGGTTTAGTAAGAGCTTATAGCGAACTGTCATCAGAATTGTCAACTTCAAATGTGCGGGCAGTTATCGTTCCTGAAGAGATTTTAGTATTTCTAATAAAATTTAACTATTCTTGTGACCGCCTTAGCATTTCACCAGGGTTGTCCACTTTATTTATATCTGACTTCTTCATAGACATCTCTTTAAAGACAACACTCGTCTAACTTTTTTGGAGGTTGGCCTCGTAACCTGAAATTCACTCATCGACTCGCAATACTCAGATGACACGATTCTATTAGGTGAAAACGCTGACAAAGTGTAGAGTTTCCTAACCACCCTAAGCAATAGTGCCACCATGTTTGGGATGAGATTCGTTCGCATTAAATATAAAATATTTCTTCAGGACTTCAACACTTCAGTTAGTAATAGAAAGTGAAGTAGTTGAGTGCGCTAACCACTTCACTTATCTTGCAAATCTTATCAGATCTGATGTACTGGTGTCTGACAAATTCTCAACACAAATCCGAAAAGTTCTTTTGACTTTAACCAACTTGTATAACCCGTGGTTTAGGCAAGCCGTTCGTCTACCGAATCAAAGGAAGAGTTTACCGTTCAATAGTTTACTCTGTTCTATTTTATGGGTGTCGAAAATAGCCATTAGGAAGAGAGGATAGTCATAGGTTACTGGTACTCGATCATAGGTGTCTTCAAACCATTGCTCGTGTATTTTGAGACTTCAGAGTGAGCAGTGCTAAAGTTAGGCATAAGGGACTTGTGGGAGATAGAAAATTGGCTGATGAGGTAGTAAATCTTTATCCACTGAAGCGGTTGGGACATATGTTACTTATATCCAATCACCCTTTACCTTGGCGCGTGATGTCTGGTGTAGGAGTAGGCTGGGAGAAAGCTAGTGGCGCTCAAAACAAGGGATGGCATAAAATAGTGAAGTCGCTGATCGTTGGATTAAGTCATGTAGGTAAGTGTAGATTACCTGATTGAGGTCCACGCAATTATCGTAACCAGTCGTTAGAGACTGGGTGTCATTGCTCAGAATCGTCCATAATGGTGCAGGTGCATTCTGATTTTATCTTCCTTTCGTTCTCGAATCCCGACATTCCACATTTTTTTGTTCCGATTATTTTCTACCACTATTGATGTAGTAAACAGAACACAGGTGGGGACAACGGAATGCATTTGACACAAAATTACAGGACTTGTTAATAAAATCTAACAATCAAATAGTAAATACGTAATTTGCAAAATGTCCATCGATTGTCTCATAATGACTCAGAGTTCATTGTTCTTTCATTTTCATACAAATTGCATTCTGTTCCCATTCTTTACTGTTCGATCCTCTTGTCTCTCCGCTTCCAGACATTCTGTTCAAGAATAACGTCATATACTACTTATGTCGATATAAGTAGCACACACCACACTGATACTGGTTATCACTTTTAGTACTCTGCGATTTATCTTGATAATTTTATCTTGCAGTTCCCATGTGGTGTTGCAACTTAAGTTGACTAGTATATCAGGTTCTACGTTGTGTATGACTGACAGCTGCGTAAGTCACTTAGTGTTATGTGGAATATGTTGCTAGGTAATCTAAATATGGTAAGATCTACTTGAGCTAAACATCCCAATACTCTTGAATATTTTAGTAACTTATTGTCTAACCAAACAAATATAATGTTGTTTTAATCACCTAATCTTACTCTCAAATGGAGAGACCATTAATAATTAAGTACACGCATGCGGCAATCGAAAAATGAGACAGTAATAATTCATAGGATTATTGATTTTATATATTTCACGTCGTTGTGTGTATTTATTCTCTGTCACTGTAACCGTAATGTAGGAGGGAAACTAGTATTGTTCTTTTTAATTAAAGTTTAAACAATAATCCAGTATAAATTGTTATAAAGAACTTTTAGATTGTTCTAAACTATTATTAGTTTTCACATGCTTATATTGTATTTGATTCAATACCATATGGTTATTTGACTTTTGTTTTTCCTAATAGAAACGCCGGTTCCAAGAATATGATTGTGGTGAATTGACTTATCGAGAAAGATGGGGAGGAAATACATGGTTATAAAACTCTGTATGATTTCTTTTAACTTTGTAACCAATTCATTAGTTAATTGAAATAAATTAGATCACCTTATAACCATACTTTTTTTTCAGTCTTATAGGGATGTTTAGTATAAAAAAATATAACGCTAAATAATGAACTCTATTTTTTGGGAAGAGTGGATGTTTTCAATTAGGTTTAAACTATGAACTTACCCAGCTTACAAAACTTGAAACCAATAAAAATTTGTAACTAATTTCATCTTTATAAAGGTAGAATTTCGATTGTCGTTCGGTTTCTGGTTACAGTGTAAATTATATTTCTAATTTTGATTTAATCATTTTAACATAAAAGTAGTCAAAATACGTCTTTCTACTGTTTTAATATTGTATTTCAATGTTTTTCAGACAACTTGATTTTTTTGATATAAGGTTTCTGCATACAAATATATAAACGTATTTATAAATTTTCATAATTAGTACAGCGTCAAATAAGTTTTGTGTGCGTTTTTCGGTGATTTTTCTCTATACCTCTATACTATATTGGTGTAGATTATTTTTAACTTTTTTTCTTGGAAGTTTTTGATTGAGATCATGAACTGATTGATGTTAGACCATCACAATTGAAAACCTGGAAGCACTGGACGGCCGTTTCGTCCTATTGTGGGACTCCTCAGCAGTGCGCATCCACGATCCCGCGAGCGGGATTCGAACTCAGGGCTTTCGGTCTCGCGCGCGAACGCTTAACCAACTTGACCAACCAACCAACCACGATCCCGCGAGCGGCTTCTCACTAGAACTCCGAGAATTCCCTCACGAAGCTAGTCACTAGTAAGCACATGTTAATTACTAGTATAGGGGTTGTGGAGATTATTAAGTTTTTGATTGAGATCATGAACCGATTGATGTTGGACCGTGACCAATGGAGCTAATCCTTGTCGGGTAGAGACAGGTATCTACCTCAGTACAACGGAAGTTGGTCGCGCAATTTCGTGGATTGGTTGATGTTAGAAACTATCACCATTGGATCAAGTTGGTTGGTTGGTTGGTCAAGTTGGTTAAGCGTTCGCGCGCGAGACCGAAAGCCCTGGGTTCGAATCCCGCTCGCGGGATCGTGGATGCGCACTGCTGAGGAGTCCCACAATAGGACGAAACGGCCGTCCAGTGCTTCCAGGTTTTCAATTGTGATGGTCTAACATCAATCGGTTCATGATCTCAATCAAAAACTTAATAATCTCCACAACCCCTATACCAGTTTCTTGGAAGTGTTTATTCGAATTAATGAGTTTGTAATGTAAGTTTGTTCTCTGTTTTCCTTTTCTTATTATAACATGGCCGGATTATACGGGAGTTTCAGTTTTCTGATTGGACTAGATGTTTTTAAGTTGTAAATGGTGAGGAATTTTTTTAATTCTGTGATCAACTTTAAACTGCCAGCATAGGGTTTTGGAGATTGTTTAATTTCGTTGAGACCATGAACTGGTCAGTGTGTTAGGCCACCACTGACAACCTGGAGGTTAAGCGTTTGCGCGCGGTGCCGAAGGCCTCAGGCTCGATTCCCGCGTATGGGGTTGCGGACGCCTACTTTTGAAGAGTCCCATGCTGGGAAGAAACAGCGGTTCAATGCTTCCAGGTCTTCAGTGACGGTCTAACATTGATCGGTTTATGATTTGAATTAAATTGAATGTTGTGGAGGTTTTCTTGTTGTAAATATATATGTATAATTCTAATGCTTTCTGGGCGTTTGTGGGTCGAAAATTCGGATAGTCAGAAAAACCATAAAAACGACCTGGTTACTTCGTGTCTATCACTTCGAAACACTCAATATTCAGTTGATTTTTCAAATGTACGTTTGAATAATATAAAACTTACGAAAGAGTTGTCTGCATACTATGTTGCTGTATTTATTAATTTCTACATGTGTACATGTCAATGTAATATGTGAACTACAAAGCTATTTAATTAGAAAAGAACTATTGTTTGGTATTATCTACATGAAACTAGTGTTGACTTGCTTCGAAATTATATTGATTTATCACCTAATATCGTATTCTCATTTGCATTCAAGCTTCTGCATAACTATGTTTCGTAAATTTATGATTAAATCCAACGTTTGTTGAATATCTCAACATAAATGGTTAGCAATCTGAAGAAGTCTTGGTGATGGTAAGAAACAATCCGGCTTTCCATGATTCCTTATCATTTGTAGCATATCAAAAGACAAATATACTGCGCAACATTTAGCACTGAATTATGCTACAGATTTAGAAGATGGTTAGATTGCAAGTGTTGGATTATATGTATCTTTGAAACATTGCTGTTAGTATGGTACCTACCACATAAGTTGCAAAATGATTAAGTTAAACGAAATAGTCTAACTACTAGTCACTATAGCAGTTGCTTTTGATCTGAGTTTTGTCGAGGGGACTATCTGTTTTTGGTTGAGTTTTGTGACATGCCCTAAATTTTTGTTGATTACTTGAGATATTATAGTTCAAAATCAGTCACAGTAGCACGCTCATTTATTCTTTCTTTTCGTCTAAATATTAGCCCTAGTATTTGAGAAAAACTTTCCATCTAATTTATTCTTTCTTTTTGAACAGCGTTTTCTACTTTGCATTTCATCTTGTTTATTCTTTGCCATGCCTATATAAAACGTAACAATTGAAACTGACCCAAATGTGTTTCAGTTCTTACATTGTTAATATCTGTGTTATAGGAAGAGAGTAGTTGTGCACCATGTTCCTGCAGATACAATCAAAGGATTATTTAAGTAATTTACATGGTGATTGAAAGTTTATTGAAATCGATCAGGTAAATTTGTCTGAAAGTAGGAATTTTGACGATTATACTATGTATATTATATGAATAAATAAACTTTTTGATGTGGAAAATAGGAAATTAGCATTGTTGAATAATAAGAATGATTGAATTATAACTCTGAATATATTAGCTTAGTTATTCAGAAACTTTCTGTTTTAGTGAATGGATTCATCTGATGTAGTATCTCATCGGTTAGTTATTGATTAATAGTATGTTCGGAAATAACAAAAACCCCACATCCAAACTTTATAAGAAGCCTTATAATTTACGAAATACTTGTGGAGTAAATATCTCTTCATATTTTGCTAGACTTTATTATTATCTCGATATTCATTATTCAGCACAAATTTTATAAGCGGAGATGGATGATGGCTGGCAGTGGAATCCTTTCTTAAAAATGCTCGTGACTTAGTGACAACATCGAGGTAATCCGCACAGGATAAACGTGTCAAAAGGGACTGATAAGTTGGATTCCTAAACATCAGTGGGAAGATTCAACGAAATAAATTTTATACTTTTGATTCTTATTCAAAATGAGGATCTATAGTAGTAACTTAAGAAAACACCGGAAAACACATCATTTTTAAACGTTTCGTAATATATTTTCTACTGGTATCACGATAATGCATTTAGAAGAGCATAACTGATACATACAGAAACTCAGGCGTATGTATATCTATTTAGACAATTAAAGCAATCATAAATTCCTCAGGAGCACATGCCTGTGACCCTATACGGGTAAGAAACTAACATCTTAGGGTCTCGCAATAACCATAAAATTATTCGGTACCATCTAAAAAAGGTGCTTGAAACTGTTATTCCTAGTAAATGTGAAGCTTAAGTATGTAACTTGAAAAACCGAAAAAAAGTTAGGACAGGTGAACATGTTGGTCGTCCGTTTCTCAATTATCCTCCAACTTATTATCAGTTAAGCCCTAACTACAGTATTTATTTCGGTGTTGGTCATGAGATATATTGCCATTTTCGAAATATGGTTATTTTAATAAATCGTCGTTCTAACTCATGAAAAAAACTTCTAGCAATCATCTGTCATGTTGCTATTTTTTACCGAACAGTTGAATGCATTTTCAAGTTTCTTGAAGATTATTTTCTATTTATGGTTAAACAGTGTTTTTATCAGTCCTGACTGATTTCACGCTGTTTAAGATAACCCAAAAAATGAAGAACGTTTAGTGATGACGTAGTACACACAGAAGTCAGGGTTAAATCGATTGGATGCAAGTTTGGACTCCATCCCATTCATTTCAGTTTGGGTAACTCATTACTATCGCTACTCTTTGAACATAAAGTGTAACTCAATGTTAAATACCAAAATCTGTAATTTCAATAGTTGAGATCATGAGTCATTTTAAACTAGACCACTATGGAAAACCTCGAAGTGCTGGACGGGCGTTTCGTCCTATTGTAGGACTCCTCAGCAGTGCCCATCCACGACCCCACCTCGCGCGCTAGCGCTTAACCACTGAGCCTGCATCCACCGGCGTTAATGTCTAACTTCAACTAGTCCATGAAATTGGGTGCCAGTTACCATCTCACAACACTGATAGATTCCGTGTTCTAATCCCGCGAGGCGGGGTCGTGGATGCGCACTGCTGAGGAGTCCCACAATTGAACGAAACGGCCGTCCAGCACTTCGGGGTTTTCCATGGTGGTTTAGTTTCAATTGACTCATGATCTCAACCATTGAAATTACTACAATTTCCACAAGATCCTTTCTGATACAAAAATCCGTACTTAATAAATAAGTTGCATAATATACAACGGTTACTATCATTGATACGTATATCTTCAGAATATCTGGTGCACAGATCTTGTATGGTTGGTTTTAACTTGTTATTTTTATGTCTAACTGATTGAATTCATAGTTGATTTAGCAAAGAATATCAAAGTGTTGATATGTATACCTGAATAGGATTATTTTTATAACTTATTAGTTGAATATGGTAAGATTTCGTTCAATCTTTAAACTCAGCCTTATATTTCTGAAGGATAGTTGTTAACATTTATGTTAGTATTATAATTTGACTTTAATCTAGATTGTTGTGTTGAATTCATTTTCAAAATTCATTTAATTAGTTTATATTATTAAGTCTATACACATTATCTTTATATTTGACTAAAGTATATATATATATATATATATATATATATATATATATATATATATATATATATATATATATATATAAGATAACAAGTCTCGGATTTTGGCACGAAATTCACTCATTCATTTGGATAAATAAAGTTTTGGCATTATAAATGATGTCAGTTCGTGATGAAAACCATAAATTTAATTTCTAACCTTAATCACCAACTGTAAATCATAATTGTCATTCTTCACACAGGCTTATAACGTTCATTTGGTCCTGGTTA